TATATATATATATATATATATATATATATATATATATATATATATATATATATATATATATATATATATATATATATATATATATATACCGGCTGCGAGGTCCGTACTGAAAAAATATTTTCCCGAGGTCTCGGAACGACGCGATAAAGGCTGGATAAAAAGCGTTTATAGTTTCATTGCAATAGATATGCTTTTCTACTCAACAAGAAGACAGAAGGTAGACAAAGTAAAAATATTTATTTTCCGATTCGGTTTGCAGCATGGACATGCTTGAAAAATGCTTTTTAATTGACAGACAAATACAAATTTTAGTTGCCGAAAAACAATTTGTTCTTTACAACATTTATAAAAACAATTTTGCCCGAATAAGCCCAGGAATCGTCTTTAAACTACCATTTAAGGTGGTTTTTTTTTACATTTTATGTTTAAGGACAAGTTGTACATTGTACTATTTATATTTATACGTATATTTTTGAAGAATAGCTGAATATAATATGTGGAACATTTGAATCAAAACATGTAGCACTGGCAAGTGTTTTTCGATGTTTATATTTGGGTTTTTTCGCAGTTTGGTCGGAGAAAAGTACATTTCAGGCTTGGCACTATGTCCACTGAAGCCAATTCACTGTATTTACTATCTTTAGTATCGATAGGGTGGATTTTTAAACTTTTTGGATAGTGTTTTGAGTTTGAAAATTGTCTTCGGTCCTCGGTTTTTCGCAAGAAAATAACTCTTTTAGACCACGGTTAAGGTGGCTCCGTAGGGTTTTTTTAATTTACTACACTATAGTATTCAGGAGACTCGACATGAAAACGAAATTTATTGGACACATTGACAATGTTCTCCTGAACATTGCAAATTGCTACTTTTGTGTTAAAAATATGTTGTCATGGCAACAGCATGCTTAGAATAAAGCTCAAAATTTGTCTTTTTCAGGTCATTTTAAAAACTCCCTTTGGTGAAATTTTTTAAAACTTTGCATAAAAGATAATACTTGTGTAATGATTTTTTCCCCTCAATTTAAAAAAATTAAATCGATGTGTTTCTTAGAAAATTTAAAAAAGTCAAAAATCAATATTAAAAATTTTCCCTACGATTTAATTTTAAGAAAAAAGGATATTGCACTTGTTGTGACAATATTAAAAAATGTGCAAAGTTTTAAAAAATTTTACCGAAGGAAAACAGAGAAATTTGGGTTTAATTTTGGCAATTTTTACGGATTTTTACGCGAACAATTTAATACCCCAACTGACGTGTACATGCATGCTGCATAAAACAACAAGGCATGACTTTTTTTAAATCACAAAATATAAATTATGTTTGATATACTGTTTATAACTGTGTCGGTTAATGGTCAACTAAGCGTGGATTATACATGTAAAAATGGCAAAAATATTTAGGTAATTACAGGTTATGACTTCTTGGTATTAATTTGAAAAATGTTTGTCAAAATTCGTTCCGTGCGAGTTAATACTATCGTCGGATGTTTTCGCATAGGTCTCCCGAAAAGGTCTTTTATTTAAAAAAAATCCGTACAATTTGCTTTAAAATGCAATGCTTTGACATGCAATGCTTCAATGTACAGTATGACCTCTATAATTTGTATTACATGAAAAAACACTGCAGAAATGACCACTATGAGAAAACACTGCAAATTCTCGAGGAAACTTTATATCATATCCCAATGTTCGCGATCGAACCTCGCGTACGGCGGTTCAAAAAACTTCCAGAATACCGCTTTTGAAAAAAAAACAAGTTTACATTATCTTCTTTTGAAACATCACATCCCAGCATCGTTTTGGCTTTTAGAACTCTTTTTATGCTTTTAACTAAAGCAAAGTTTACACTTTTGTTTCAAAAAAGAGTTCCATATAAACAACGTTCGTTCGTATTTTGAATTCACACGAGTTTTAGTTTACATATATACGAAGAACGTAACCCCCGGAAATAAATCCCTAGGGAGCCACCTTAAGATATCGTAAAAAGCTGACCGCTGCTGCAGCCAATCAGATTGCAGGAAATCAAAAATATCACTAGGTATACACAAATAAAAAATAAATAGTTTTACAATATAGCATTTGTAAATTCGAACGCTGATTGGCTAAGAGCCGTGTTGATATAACTCAATGTCAACACGGAAACGTCGGAAAATTTCTTTCTTTATATTTTTTTGTGTTATATTATAAAATAAATATAAAACATTTTTTCCGTATTGATATATAGTTTTAGTGTAATTACATAGGTGATTATTGAAAATTCTCCACGCTGATTGGTTGCTGTTGAGGTGATTATTACGCGATAATCACCTAAGCGATTTTCAAAATGGCGGCCAAGCCGTTTTGTCAATTAAGTGACGAAGAAATGTGTATTTTTTATTTTTTTCTGAATAATCACCTATGAAATTATACTAAAACAATTATTCACCTGCTATATTGTAGCACAGTCTGGGGCAATGCTAATAACGATCTAATTACGTGCCTACTAAAACTACAGAAACGTGCAGCGAGACTAATTCTTGAGCAGTCAACTGAAGTGCCTTCAATTGTGATTTTCCTTAAACTCAACTGGATACCTATTTTTAATTTGATCAAAATGAGAAAAATATTATTGGTATTCAATACTTTAAAAACATCTTGGCCACCGGATCTTCGTAAATTGTTTGTCTTTGTTCGCGACTCTCATCCAATTCCAACTAGATCGTCTATTACAGACTTAAAAGTTCCATCAGTTAAGACTACGCAAGCAAAATCCAAAATTTCCTTCAGTGGTGCAAGTTTATTTAATTCTCTACCTTCCGAATTAAAATATATTGAAAATCACTCAATTTATTCCTATAAAAAGAAGCTCAAAACCTACTTTATTCAATTGAATTATGAAGTAGATCACGTTAATAAATTCCGCTGCATCGATTGTAAGCATATTACTCATTGTCAATGTTACTCTCAATAGGATTTTCTTTTTATATATTACTATTAGATATCAAGGGCCATTGGGAAGAATACTATATTAAGTAATCAATGTAATCCCTCAATAAATAACGTTTTATTATTATTATTATTATTATTATTATTATTATTATTATTATTATTATTATTATTATTATTATTATTATTATTATTATTATTATTATTATTATTATTATTATTATTCATCACTTAAAAGTCGCAGTTGGTGCAGATCTTCGACTTTTTGCTGACTGTCCTAATTCAGGTACGACCTGTACTTCAACTTTATTTCGAACGCTAAGACCTGATATAGTGGTGGATTTTAAGGGTTCTGTATATGTGGTTGAATTAACTGTTCCCTACGAAACCAATTGTACGAAGGCTAAACGTCGCAAGAAAGAAAGATACAGACATCTAAGATCTGAGCTGATCACGGCGTGTTATGCGGTTGAAGTTATTACACTTGAAGTAACCACTCTAGGGTTTGTGTCGAAAGATATTGACAGATTTCGTAGATTATTACGAACACTTGAAATGAACGACGAACGTATTATTAAAAAATGTACGGAGGTAGCTCTGAGAGCAACATTCTACATTTACTGCAGAAGAAACAAGCCGTGGAATAATCCAGACTTACTGAATTTTTATTAGCTACTATTGATACAAAGTGTAGAGAATGGACCTATCTGTCTAACATAGTGAACTGTTTCTTTATTTTCCTGATTTAATTGAAAGTCTAATTATGTGATATATTTGTATAAATTATCATGTTATTAATAAAGATTTCTGTTGTTTAAAAAAAATTATTATTATTATTATTATTATTATTATTATTATTATTATTATCATTATTATTATTATTATTATTATTATTATTATTATTATTATTATTATTATTATTATTATTATTATTAATATTGTTAATAAAAACCTCGACTTCGTCTCGGTTTTTAATCATCGCACAATTTCTCGTTTTCCCAATTTCCACTCGTGTTGATATATCAACACGGAAAATGTTTTATGTTTGTTAAATACCAACACTCGTGTTATAATGTAACATTGAGTACTAATGAGCTAATAAATATTACTTAAACCCTAACATTTCTCAATATATTTGCTTTTAGTCCTATGTACAACCGGCCCTTGTGGCCAGAACGCGATGTGTAGAGATGTCCCTGATTCGTATGTATGTACCTGCCATGCTGGCTATACGGGTAACCCTGGTCTAGTCCCAGGTGTAGGATGTATAGGTGAGTATCATGGAAATTATGTAGCCCTAAAAATACGTGACAGTAAATTTCTTTTGAATAAAATACATTTAAACTATTGCAATCCCTCAATCGCCGAATGCATTGTTTACGCGTGGTCGTATGTATGTATGACTATAGATAAGGTTGGCAGATAAATTCTTAAATAAGTACGTAGTCCCAGAGATATAGTACAAAAAAATTATTAAAGTGCTTATTTTTTGTTATTTTTGGTGTTGTTTTCGAAAAGTATATGAGCTTATATACTTTTGTGTTATTTTATTTTGTGTTTTATTATGTATTTTTTAAGTTTTTGTACTCAATTTCTTCGTGCGTATTTAGGAATATCAAATAATAATATAGTCATACTTATGACCGCGCGAAAACATTGCAGTCGGGAACTGAGTAGTAGTAGTAATAGTTTAAATAAATTTTATTCAACAGAAATTTATTACCACTGGGTTATACCTAGGCAAATACATGCATGCAGCAATCCTTCAAATCGACCTTTAGCTCCCCATTATCACAGAGTAGATAAGACATACAGAGACGTAACTGACCGTTGTAAACACTGCGGAAGATTACGTTATCATGTACCCACTTTTTTTCATGCGACCGGGCGAAAAATGATCAACTGCGCGTGCTCAGCAAGTTTAAAGTGAGTCGTCATCAGGTCGTCATCCAATCAGATGCATGCATCTAGTAACTTGCCGAGCATGCGCACAAAAAAAGTGGGTACACTAGTTACGTCTCTGTATGTCTCTACTCTGTGCCATTATTATTCCAGCAAAATCCACTTTGTAATTAATTTTGAAACAAATGCAAGCGATATAAGTTTAAATTTGTTTTACGACGACGTTTCGATGCTAATTCTCGCATCATTTTCATGTTGCAGTAATTTATAATTTATAAACGGTTTGTCTCACGTTGGCAAACTATTGCGTAAGTATTCAAATTTTATCTAGGAGTTTCTATCGCAAGGAAAGTGCTGCCTCAAACATGACAATACAAAATATATGTTTATTTTACTGACACGAGGTACTTTTTCAAAGAATAGAATTAACTTTATATTAACAGATTGTGGAGTGGATGTTTGTTTAATACGCTTGCATGCTAATTGAAAGTTTTAGCGCAAGCTAAACTTCCCGAGCGATCGACGCAAAGTCGAGATCTCAACATTGTATAGACTATAGATCGCGCATTTTGGATTGTATAATAAAGACTATACTGGAAGTGATCATATAAACATTATGAATATGTCAACGTCTTTGTTGCATGTACCGGCAATCATTCGTCATTCGTATTCGAATCGGCTTAATAAACTCAATCTACACACTACGTTTCATGCGACTACGGAGAAATATAAGACCTTTATGCCTTCCCTCTAAAGTAGCGAATATTAAAGATTAATTACAGTTGATTTCATATAACTTTTCCGTGAATGTTGCGAACTTCGTTCCGAACTTCGTTGTGAAGTGGTCCCTTCACAAAAATAAGCCAATTAGAGGCTTTGTTTACATACGGGCTTATGAATTTCATTATGAACTTTTGAACTTCACAACGAAGTTCGGAACGAAGTTCGCAACATTCACGGAAAAGTTATATGAAATCAACTGTAAAGATAGTATTTTCCTGGCATTTAGGCTTGAGTTTAGGCTAGCTTCCTGCGCTCTGTTTGCTGGGCAAAGTATTAATAATAGACACACATCAAGACATTCAACACGTAGTTGGATTAATCTGGCTAGGGGTAACGATTCCCCTCAGCCGCTTTATTAATATTTAACTTTCAAAAATTAGGATTCATACAATATGTCGATCGAATTAAAATGTTCTTAAACAGTTCTGCCCAGGAAAGGTGAGGGCAAAATTACGCCATTACTTACAAAATAGGCAATAAACATTAACAATAATGACAGATGCAGACATGGGGAGGAGGAGGGTTATTAATAAATTTGATATCTTCACACAGTGGTAGAATGAATATGACTGATGTGAACCGCATGGAAGAATGGACTATAAACCCTCTTTTTCAGCCATCTGCTTGATCATTCCGCACCCTAGGGACATTCTAGCCATTTCCTTTGTATGACAATTGTTATCTTTTCACCACCTGCTTATCAATTATAATAACCAACCTATCTATCCCCATGTCTCAGACGGAAAGGCATAAAATTCCTATGAGCAAGCAAATATTCTATTTATATGAACAATTTTTTAAATTTCAAGTTGCATAGCGACAAGAGACCTAAACTCCAATTTTATTGGGTTACTCAAATTAAAGCAAGACTTTAAATTATGGTTTGAATGTTTTCTGGCTGCACATTTGCATGTGCGCGTCACGTGCAGCCTGTTTCGTTCAAGTCATGTACAAGCACACTGTCACGTTTAGTGTGATTACTGATTACTGAAATTTTCAATATATATTCACACGTTTCTTGGCTACACTTTGGAATAATAAAAAGTGCGTATTCCCTATGCTTCGAAGGATACTCAAACAAATCCGTGAAGAGATAATTATATTTAGAGATTTGAAAGCAATTTGTTCGCGATTTTCTTGGCGCGTGTATATTCTTTATAGTTTAATTCGTTGGCTTTCGAATCTATGCATTTCAGTTACGTTACAAGAAGGTAAATATTTCGAGATAACCGATCGAATCCATAATCAGAGTATAGCATCTTAACATTTTATCAGCTGACTAGAAAAGATTTATCAAAGCAACGCCCCCTGTTGTTTTTCTTAGAACTTTATTAATTACACAATTTTCCAAATGTCTTTGTAAAATCTTGTCATATAAGAAACCGCAATATTTTTGAGATCACCCACGAGAGATAGTGACGCCCGACATCATTGAGAGACTTTTCACTCCGCTAAATTAATTAAATTTCATCTTCTGCCGCTATAAATCATACAAAGTATACACAACTGACCTCTTGTTTGAGAGAGAAAAGAACAATTTTTTAAATAAGACAAAAATAATTTGATAAGGAGTAGTATTCAGAGAATTATTAAAGGAAAATGGATTTATAAATTGTGATTAAAAATTTGCGAATTCCATTTTCTTATTCCTCTCTTGTTTTTTAGATATTCCTGAATGTCTAATTCCGAGTCATAATTGTGACGCGAATGCCAGGTGCACTGAAACGCCTGGATCTTTTAATTGTACTTGCAATGAAGGATTTTTCGGCGATGGAAGAACTTGCCAAGGTAATGATTATTCTTAATTCTCTTTCTGATGTCCCGATGTTCATTTATTTCCTTTCATTACTGCCACTTCTTCTTATTACATCCAACATACGTACTTTAGGCAAACAATTGAGAAATGTATCTGTCATCTTTCTTAACAAGCTTAACCTTGCCAACCATATCGAAGATCTATTTTGTATAAATTGTAAATATTTACTAAATTGTAATTGTATTCATTACTAACTATTTTTTTCTCAAATGTAAATAGTCGTAATCTTTAATACTTTTTATGCCTGTAAATATCAAAATAGTGCGAGGGCCGTATGTTAGATAACTTTTACGGTTAATACGTTTTCCCTCGTGAAATAAAATTTCCATTCTATTCTATTCTAGTTCTAATACTCCCTGCATTTATTTACATATATATTTATACAGTGGAAATTTTATTTTTTCCGTCTTTAGATCTGGATGAATGTGCCATTAATCCAGGACGATGTGGCCTCAACGGTGTTTGTAGAAACACAATTGGAAGCTTCGTTTGTGATTGCGTATCTGGATATAGATGGAATGGAGCTACTTGTGTTGGTATGTAGTTTATATACCAAATTTTAGTGATGGATACTTGTCGTTAATTCTTAAAAGAAATATTTTTGTCGTAACAAAAAGACGGTAATCATCCCATAGTAACCTTGCAAACTATGACATGTCTTCATGATTTTATTTTATGTATTATTACGTAAAATTTATTATAAGGAAAAAATCACTTCCGGTGAAATGGGGGACTGTGATTGGCTAAGAAAGACTTTCGGCCGCCATTATTTTCCCGTAATGGACCAGCAGTCCATTACGTAAAAACAAACGCATGTATTTCAAAAAACAAAACAGCAAAACTATAGCTAATTCAAAATTTGAAAATTATAATTTAATTTCCCATTAATAAGATATCTGCGATTGGTTTTAGTGGAAAAGAAGGAATACATTGGTTTTTTCCCTTCGACCAAATGTGTAGTACCACGCTATTAATAAGCATTTCAAATCATGCACTTCCTGTTTGTTTCAAATACAAATGCCATATAATAAACTTTTTATTAATTTCGCGTATTCGGTATATACAGAGAAATATCGGACCTCGGTCTTTTTGCACAAACTTCGTGCTACGGGCTCGGTCTGTACAAAACAGGACCTTGGTCCGATATTTCTCTGTACAGACCTCGCGTTCGGTTAATAAAAAGATAATATTTTAACTTGTTAATTGTTCTAAATTATAATCAGCATAAGTGCCCTAAAGTGGGATATTACGCGTAATTCGATAAGCTAATGCGCGTGCAGTTTAACGTAATTAATAATGAATTGTCCTGGTTTGTCTCTGGCTTCTTTGCAGTAGCGTAACGATAATTTGGTAGGGTTAGTTCAAAAACTATGGGTCCCAGACAGTTAGGGGCCCCCATCAGCCACGGCCTATCGCCCAGAAAATTTAAACGCCAAAAAATTCAGGTTAACAATCAATGGGAAAATGCAAAATTGATTGATTGATTGGTTTATTAAAAAATTACATAACAGCTAAAAAGCTGAATTGCGTAATTAAAAAGTTATTTACAAAAATGTTATATTATTATCAATATTACTAAATTTAAAAACAACTGACTGTCAGTATAATCTAAAAGTTTTTCTGCGTTCTTCCTAATGCAACTCTGTACGATAAAAGTTTCTCGGAACCTATTAGTTTGATATTTCGGCAAATCAAACATTCTAGGATGTCGTAAGTTATATTTAGTACTTTCGCAACGTTCTGGCAAAAGATTGTAAAGTTTATGATATTATGCTGAACATGACATGGGTTTGCCGAAACGTTTTAAAATTGAAATATTTCAAATATTGTATATTTGAAAAGTGGTAAATTAATTATTCATCAATTTACAAAGTCAAGATAGTTACTTAATTGCTACCTTTCTTGCTTTCAAGACATCAATGAATGTAACGAGAATCTGGACAATTGTCATTCTGCTGCTATTTGCACGAATACTATTGGCTCATACAGGTGTAACTGTCCAATCGGACTATCTGGTGATGGACGTAATTGTGAAGGTAAAAACCAGTCTAACCTGTTAAACAAATATAATGTCAGATGTAGGTGTCAGGTGTCTCACTGCTCGCTGAAAACAGTTCTTGATTAATTAGGAACCATCCCTTTGGTTCTTGAATCTTGTTACTTGTTTATAATCAGCTTGTGTTTTGTTTTCGATAAAGGAAGTTTTACAACACATTCTGTTTTAATTATACTAGTCATATCTACTGAGCATCTACACCCGCCACCACCCACCCCCCCCCCCCCCATCCCCGCAACTCCCCAACCACAAAAAATGAACTAACCCTTAGGTTCCAAAATTATAAAAAAATGCGCTCTAAGAAGCTCCATATTCAATATACCGTAACATTCTGGATTTGTTCTCCTAAATTCATCGTTTTAATCACGAACCTTGCAGCTGGTTATTGTTCAATTCTTATACAATTTCTCGAGGAATAAGTTGCATGGAATTTCGGGACTTACGATTTTCGCATTCACATGGCAATATTTTCGCATTTGTGTCCTACAATGTTCACCAGTAATTTCCCCAAACATGTGAAAGAATCTCCCACGTACTTGAAATGTCGACCTCATATCCCCAAAATGTCTTTTGTATCAAATATCAACTCTTTTGTGCTAGATGTTCTAGGAAAATGGTAAACATTTTCAAATCGCAGATAACTGTTCGATAACTGATCGACGTTTTTAATGTATTGTGTAGTCATCTTAAATCAATTTTGATAGCGTTTATTGCTTTCAGTGTGACGCATTGCAGTGGGACTCATTGCTTTTTATTTGACAAAATACTCAGTTGTTCCTACAATTTCTAGATGTTCTTGAATGCAGTTTTTCAGCAGGGGCTTTTCCCTGTCATGCACGAGCTAATTGTATTGAGACGTTTGGTTCGTATATATGTCGGTGTATGGATGGCTACACTGGAAATGGACTATTATGTACCGGTAATTACTTATAACTCTTATAGCTACAGTACCATACTTAAGTTACTCAAACCAATTTTAATAATTTGAAGTCCAATAATCACAAATTGAGAGTAAAAGTTGAGGTTACGGTAGTGGTTTGGGTTTGTGTTACATTCGTATTAGGTTTATTATTCGATATTACGTGAAATTTTTTAACCAAATACGCAACGACACCATGCACTGACAACTTGATTGGCGACTTTATTAATAAAACCTTCATATATAGGCTACACGGCAAAAAACGATCAGGTTGTTGCAATATTGATGCAAAAAAGGATTGAACAATGCTTTGCTACACACAGTGTTCACAGTTGTCAACAATATTGAACAATATTGTTGCACCTGATTCAGGCTCAACAATATTGTTCAATATTGTTAACAAGTGCATGTGAACAACGTGGGCAGCAAAACATTGTTCAATCCTGTTAAACAGCGGGCTCAGCGTTTTTAGCCGTGTAAGAGAAAAAGTAAACGTTGCAGATATTTTTCTCATTGTAAATAAAGATGGCAATCAAGATGTTATACCACATATCTTGATATGTTAGCAAACTAAATGGTTCGGGATATGGTGGGCGTTCGATTCCCACTTTTCGGGTTTGATTCCCACATTCGAGTGGATGGTTTTCCTAGGGCGCCTCTGGTAGCCACCTTAAGACTCGTGTTTGATCATCGCGCACAGCGACGGTGGAGGAGTTAGTTTGGCTTCGTCCAAAACCACCCTGCAGTCCATATTTCATGTGGGAAGAAACCGGAGTAAACCTACGGCATTTGGTAGAGCGTTGACACGTTAGGTCCATGAGTCCGCAGCGAGAACCCCCGCACTTTCAGAGATGAAATGCGCCAACGATTGCGCCACGTCGACGAAATGCATGTTAAACAAGAAAAAGTTTGTAGTAAGTTTACGTTCCCTGTAAAATGCATCCCAATGACGACTTTCAGAAAAGATTTAGTTTTAAAGCAGGATATTTTTCGAATTCATGCTACTGACTTTTTGAAGAAGTATTTTGATTCGCTTCAAACATTGGCATCATCAGGGGTGATCTGAACTCGCAATGTGACTTCTTATATACCCATGGGATGACGTCTTCTGCCAACAAGATGGATATATTCTTGTGTGGATCGACCAGTTCTTATGGACGAAAGAAGTTGCATGACTTGCTGATGTAATGAACTTATGCAGTTTTATTTCATGCATCTCAGCACCATTATACCAGTTCTCACAAAAAAATGTACCAGTTCTTTATAAGTTTTATAATAATGCACATGAAAAGATTTGTCAAATCTGATTGGCTAAGTGCAGTGCAATGTTTTCGAAATGAAGTGCCAAAAAGTGAAATGCATGCAGTGCAAAAAGTGAAAATAATACAAAAAACCCAAACATTACGAGTGGAAAAATTTTCTAATAAAATTGTTTAATTATATTAAAATTAGCTATTTCGCATGAGATCTACACGCATGGACATGACTGCATAATATTTTCAAGTATGTTATTAATAAGTAATAGTACGGTTTCCGTGGAATTTGGAAAAACGTGCACTAGCTCGATCGTGAGTTTTCAAAGACTTCAAATTGCACAGTCGTCCTTCGGACTCGTGCAATTTTGATCGTCTTTGAAAAACTCACTCGTGCATGTTTTTCCCAAATTGCACTTAAACCATACTATTACCTAATACCTATACCTATTAAATGTGTTTTTTATATAGACATTGATGAATGTGACAGCGGTACAGATGACTGTCATGTGAATGCCACTTGTATCAATGCAGTTCCCTCATTCATCTGTGTTTGCAATCAGGGTTTCTCAGGAAATGGGAGACAATGTAACGGTACGTACTCTTAGTAAAAAGAAACATACACGACGGTACGTAAGTTTAAGTCGGATAAAAAACACGATCCCATAATTAATGGCTTTCCGTAAGCATCGCATGGGCTGCAAGTGATAGTCAACAGTTTTAAGAGAAAGAAAATTCACTTTATATTTAGGGCCACCTTTTTACCGGTGACCACTACTAGATAAAATAATTTTATTAACTTTGTCCTTTTCATAATCACCAGATAGTCACCATCGCTTGCACAGTGGTCCCCACAGTGAAAACACACCTATGTCAAACTATACCAGTGTGGGTATAGTACCAATGTGAAAATGCTGTGCTGAGTGGTTATATTACTACTTTAAAAAAACAAGCAGAAACTCAACGTTTCGAGGGAAGGCCCTTCGACGTTTAGAGGAAAGGCTACTAACTCTTGACGAAGGGCATCTCTCGAAACGTCAAGTTTCAGCTTGTTTTTTTAAGGTAGAAATATAAACACTGAGCACAGCATTTTCTACGTCAAACTATTGTCTATGGCGACTACAAGTGAAGCCTTTGTTTTGACAAATTATTATATTCGAGATGGATCACAAATATTAAAGCATCGTAGGTTTCGAAATGACATATATGTATATTGATTGGAAAATATCTTTTAAAACACATTCAAACATCATTAATAATTGATAAGCTTATTGGCAAATGTCAACCATAATATGTCACGTGAAGAGGCTTTATACCTGATGAAACTCGTATATTTATATAAAAATCCGTGCTTATTAGATATAAAGAATACTAATGAGACGGGATCTACTGCATAGTCATCGTGCTTGAAGCTATTCAAGATACTTGTATAGTCGTGTTTTATCATATCTAAAATGCTCATGCTGCGCACTCGCATTTTAAATATGACAAGATTGACGTGACGTGTGACGACACGACACGTGACGACACGTGACGTGACGCCAGCACAGGCGGCCGTGCGCCGCCTTGCTCTGTAAAATTATATGATTTTGTCATTGCTTCTTTGGATTTGTAAACAAAATATATAACGAATTGGTAGATAAAGTCGACGCCCGGGAAAATCTGTGGTATTTCTCAAATTATCCTGGTCATTTATTGAGTAATTGGTGGATTTGTGCTCATTTTTGTACCGAATCTGACATTTCTCGTTGCCTTTTCCGCTCGCGCAAGCTAAACGGACGGTTAACCTCACGAGTGCAAACGAACACGCCAACACGCGTGCTTAATTAAGCGCGCGCTAATTAATAAGAACAAAATTAATACAATTCCCAATCCTATTAGAAATGATTTTCCCAAAATTCATCTACGTTATTGTTTTTCTGTGGTTGGTTGTACGTGGAATGAAAAATACGAAAGAAACCAAGATTAATTTGTTCTATGCCTCAACGAAAACGCTTGGACCACCGTATTCTTATCGACTTCGTCGTGTTAAGAGACATGTAACTTTGCTCTCGGTTCATCGTTTTGTGCACGGACTGTTATTGTTACAGAGATCGTCTTTGCCTTTGCTGTTAATTCTTTTAGCTAACGATGTGGAATTAAATCCTGGTCCAGTTATTTCATCTGAGCATCTCGAACACTGTTCATCCGTCGTAAATAATCGAAGCAACACCATCGCAACTGAACGTAAGACATTTCGCTGTTTGAGCTGGAATACGGGAAGTTTGTTTAGTTTACATAGAACATCTGATGGAGATATGATTTCAAATAATTCAAGTCTTCAAGATTTTGTATACTCGGAGCAAATAGACATCGTTTTCCTCACTGAAACGTGGCTCTCCGATAAACACTTTGATGCAGAAATTTTACGTCAAGATTATAACGTTTTCCGTGTCGACCGTAAATGTAAAACCGGCGGTGGCGTACTAATAGCTACAAAAGAGTCTTCTTTCACAGAAACCAAGCAAGTATGCTTTAATCAATTAGATACCGAACTAGAAATCGTCTGCGTTGAATGCGCCACTAACAATGCGCGAATCCTTGTTGTTTGCTGCTACAGAGCTCCTGATTCCTCGTCAAAATGGCTTCTCTCCTTTAAAAAGTTTTTAGACTACATCATGGACACTTACGAAAAAATTATGATGACTGGTGATTTCAACTTCCCGCGAATCTCGTGGTCTGAAAGCATGGTTATACCAAACGGTGAATCCGAGAGATATTT